TCAGTAACGCTGATTTGAATAACTGGTAACAATCATTAGATCTTTTTTTGGGATGAATCATCTCAGGGACTCATCATTTAAATGATGTCACTCAAGGGGCAGGAAAAAAAAATACAGTAGAAGCAGCCAGCCTGCCATGACACAGAGGGTTTGGAGCCACAACAGGATTGGCCAAGCTGGTCTGGCAAACTTCACCAGCGCGTGGAAAAGGGAGCAAGTTTTATGGAGAATACACACTCTGACAGATCAGACAAGCAAATTGGTCTTCAGCAAGATTGTGATGTTACTGAGAGCTCTGCTGAATCGGCCTGAACTGCTGGAGAAGGAGTAGCCTCGTTTATCTGATGACCACTGACCTTGTCCTTGTCCCCCCGTCCCCTCCCCAGCGGTGGAATTTGCATTTGAAACTGCAGGTTGTAAAATCAGCCAGCCAGAACCACCCCAAGGGAACCAAACCAAACCAGAACAACACAGCAAAACAACACAACAGCCCAAACCAAGCACACAACAGAGTGAGTTTGAACAGAGTCCATTCTCTGGGCTCATCAAACCCACCCAAGAGCTCCTGTCCTTGCAGGGGAAAGGGCAGCAGAGGAGGCAAACCCCAAAACCACTCAGTGCTCCAGGAAGGCTCGTGGCTTCCTGAAGTCAGGGATTATCTCCAGGTTTATACAATGCTCTTCCCTTTTCAGACACCCAGCTCCCAGCACTTACCATCCAGAAGTGCACTGACAGTAAAAGCTCCTAAAGGAAGTGTGTGGGGGGGAATCTATCAGGGATTTTTTTTTTAATTTTTTGCAGTTTTATGGAATTTAGGCACACAGAGAAAAATACAGGACCCAGCTCCTGGAAATGCTGTGCATTAGGCAGCTCTTATTGGTTTCAGACCTTTCTTACCTACAGTGAGAAAAAAGGGAAAAGGAAAACTAGAGGAGAACTGGAGAGTCCCAGTTCAGCACAGGGTTTTTAGCCTAAAAACTAGGTTGAAGTAATACCAGGTATTACTGTCCAAAAAACCTGCCACACCACAGAGCAGAAGAATGGCCTAAAAAACCTATCAAAAACTTCCAAAACTTCAGGCCTCACCAAGTGTGATGGAGCAACTGCTTAAGAAGCAGTAACTTCAACTTGCTTACAGCTTTCTGGGGAGGAGAGGGAGTGGAGGCAGTGGGGATTTGGGAAAGGGTCAAGTTCAGCTCTTGGTTCCAGACACACCTCTGGAGCAGAGCCCACTGCACAGAGGTGATGTGAGCAAGAGCCCAGAGCACCGTGTCGAGTTATCAATATCTGTTATTAACAAAGAAAAAAAAATTAACCTTAAAGGTTAACACAATGCTGTGTTTTTACAACATCTGTCAGCAATTATTTGTATTTACTCGCGCTGTAAATGCAGAAGAAAAGTCAGAGAAATAAACACCAGAATTCCCACCAGTCTTGCCTTTTCCCACAAAGAATCTTCTCATCATCCCTGTTTAGACACTCTCATTTGTTCCTTGCCCTCTCCAGTGTGGAATTTCTTCCCAAGCCTCTATGACCAGAAATTACCGGTCCTCGTCGTACCCTGGAGCGAATAACAACCAACCCCTCTGCAATCAGCGGTGTTAACTCCAGGATTCTGAAGAACAGCAATCAGAACTATAATAATAATTTCTTGGATTCCAAAGAGCAAAGCAGCCCCCTCTGCAGTCCCTGCTCTCCCCTTGGCCAGGCTTTGCACTGCAGCAAACAGGGAGGCAGGGACAGCAAGGGCTGAGCTCCCAGTCGTACTCCACCTGTGCAATGCAGGGTGAGGAACAGGTTAGCTGGGTGAAAAGTTCACTGCAAGCTGAGCTGTCTGTTTCTCTTGCTTAATTTATCCGATATTTGGCTAACCTTGCTCTGAACCCAGCCCCCAAGACCCCCTTCCTCTCATCCCTCCCCAGCGGGTTCATGTCAGCCAAAGACACCGCCTCTAATTCCCTTCTCCCTGACCCTGCTCAGCGGAGCGGGGGCTGGGACACAGGGCCAAGCACAGATAATCATTATTTATGCTCCAAACTTCAACGGGAGCAAACAGAAAAGCCCTACAGTCAGCAACACCGCCTGATACGGTGTTTGAGCTTATCGGGCTTCCCAAGGCTGGATGGCACAGCCCCTGCACCCTTCCTCCTCCTCCCCTCCCCTCCTCCTCACCCTGTCGCTCTTCCAAGGATGCAACGCTTCCTAAAGTAGTTTAGAATGGATGCCTGATCCCCTCTGGCAGCCCTTGCCAGGGGACTGGCACCCAGTTCCCACTTCCACGATCTCCAAGGTGTCAGTTAGCCCAGTTATGTCGATTATCCCGTTCGTGCAGCTCAAGATCCTCAAAAGGAACCCGACAGACACACATTTTACAAAGCACAGAGCAGCAGCTGCAGTGACACAGAGACCTGACACAGAGACCCAAAGGGTTTTTCTCACCCCCAATCCCAGCAAAATCAGCGGAGGAAAGGCTGGGGGGTAGGGAGATGGGATGTGCTACTGCTGCTCTTTGGAAAACAGGATTCCCTGATCCACGGACCTTTATGCACCCATAAGCTGCTCATCCTGCAGAATACAGACAAGCTGCCAAGCAGTTTCCCTTTCACTGATAATCTACAGCTTTCCCACCCTCCCTCCGTACCCAAAAAGTGGACGACAAGAACCCCTCAGTGTTCCCCCTGCCCTGCAGGGCACCGGTTTCACCCCCCGGTGAACACCCTCCCCACCACCTCTCGGCCCCGCACGTCAGAGCCGCGCTCCGGTGATGCAAACTGCGGGAAAAGCTGCCCGAGAACAGGCGTTCCTGGCAGGCTCCCCGTGTTTTCCCGCTGTGCTCAGCACCGCTCCCAACACTCTCCGGGGCGGCACAAAGCGCGTTTGATGGGCTTCTCAATGACCGGGCACATCGTCAGACACCGGGCACCGACCGGCCCTGCCGAGCTCTCCCGGCTCCCTCTCATGTTTAATCCCAAGAATCCACACGTTTCTATAACCCTCCTGCTGGCACTCTCCTCCTCCTCCTCCTCCTCCTCCGTGAGAGGGTGACTGAGGATGTGCCGAAGACTCTGCTAATTGAGCAGAACAAATGTTTCCTGTAAACCTTAACTTCGTTATTACCATTTTCGACCTGACAAAGAGCCCTACGGCTGTTCCACGGCTTCGATGCACCTGAGCAGCTTCAGCTGCAGTAGGAACTCTCACAATCAGCTTATTATTTCTGTGATCTGCATCATCACAGTGCCCCAAACTCCATTACGGTATCTCTGCACACACAAAGTTCCTGTCCCACTGACTGGAGGGGCAGAAACAGCCTGACAGCTTTACAATAAGTGGAAATTCCTCGTGGTCTAAGAATAATATTAAACTTGCTTCTCAGGGTCACTGGATGACCTCGCCTTGACACATTTCTCTGGCAGCAGTGCAGACTGGCCTAGCTCTGATGTGGTCACTAATTTAATGACACCATCCATTCCAAACTTCCCCACTCCCACACTAAAGCAGCAAAATACCAGTTTACAGAGGGCTCTTTGAAATAAAAAAAAAAAAATCCCAGCACCCCTCACCTAGCCCTGCACGTTTTCAAGGCATGGAAGTTGCTAAAAAGAGCCAATTCAGGTTGTGAGAAAGACATCAAACTGCTACAGAAGTAAACTGAAGATACACACACCAAACAATCAGCCCACATTGCATAACTCACCTGGTATCTGTATTTCTCAACAGCACTGACCACTGCATCAGGATAATTAAACTATTAAAATAATAGACAACAGTAATTTCCATACAAGCAGTTCTTTGTGCAAACTTCCAGAGCCTTTGGTAGGGATTTTAACACCTCTTCAAAACCGGTGAAATTAGTCACAGGTGGGTAAAAAGGGACAGAATTGCTACAGGAGGTGCCAGATAAAGTCAATCACAGGTGCCACAGATCCCAGTTGTTGGCTCCTTCCACCCACCACACAGCAAAGCAAAAACACTTCAAAAGAAGCCACCCCAGCATAATTAAAGGCAAGCTGAACTGAACAACTCAAACTGTTTACAAGTGCAGTTTAAGAATCACATAATTAAAAAAAAAAAAAAAGGCACAAACTTGACACAGCCATTTTAACCCTTTAGGCCTAGTAAAACCTGTCCATAAAAAGGTGTCCCCTCCCAAGCCCAGGCAGTGCCCCAGGACCATGGACATCCCTGGACACTGGTGGATTGGCAATGAAATCAGGACTGACATCCCATCAGCTGGATCAATGCTGGAACCAGGACTGACCATCCCTTCCCTCCTTCCATCCTCCCGAATTCCTCTCTTCCTTTCTCTCTTCCCTTTATCCAAACCCCACTGCCACGTGCTTACAGCTCAGGGACCCTCACACCAATTTCCACCTGAGCATGTCATTTACTAATAAAACTTCCTGATTGTTGGTGGACCCTCTGACTTTTGTCATTGCTTTTGACCAGGAGCGTTTACAAATCTTCCTTCCACGGTGACCTTGGCATCCGTGGGAGCTGGAGGGTGGCACTGGACAGCAGGAATCTTGACCAGGCACATCCCAGGGCTGTGGCCAAGCCCAACCATCATCCACTTTGCTACCTACGGAGCAACCCAACTATGAAACCATCGCTCACATGTGGGATCCATTAGGGGGCATTTCGAAGGAATTCACGTTCATTGTTCCCCTTGAAATATAAAGGTTATAAAACTTAACGGCCGCATGACAAGGAAACTCTAATGAAACACTCGGAGATTTACAGAGCGACTGCTCAGCTCTCGGGGCTGGAAATGGCTGTGCAACAGTCACCACGACCTGTGGGCTGAGGGCTGAGATTTTGGGCAGTTTTCCTTTTTTTTTTTTTTTCCTTCCTCTCTTTCTCTGACCTTGCAGGCCGGTGTTCGGTTACCGCAGCAGCTCCGCAGTCAAACAGAAACACAGCTTGGATCTTCTTTCAAGTATTTATTTCTTTTGCCCTGTTAACATCAAGTAATGAAAGGAATTGTAAGGATTTTGAAGGGGGGTGGGTGGGGGGATAAAAGGAATGAAAGCAGGAGAAAGGGGGAAAAAAAAAATATGGACATAATGGCTTAATTTTTCACAGCATGTGCAGCACAAATGAACAGTAAACACATCCCAGGGAAAAATGCAAACAAAGGCTCAAAGTTCCAAGAAAAGAGCCCATCGTGAGTGCCCCCGAGCAAACATTTCTGTGATTAAACCCTCAGAGCCTCTGTGGGATTTCTAGGCCAATTCAGCACAGCAGGTACCTCCCCCCTTCCCCCAGAACATCCCTGGGCAGGAGCAGCCACAGGGCCAGGTTTCCAAGCCTTGTTTTGGCTCAAGGCATGGAAATGTTGCAATTATGGCATTAGGAGGAAGCTGTAATCTAATCTAACGGGTCAAGGACAAGTGTGAAAATCTGATTTGGGGATTTGCCACCAGGGTTTGTCTACACAGAGTGAAATAATTAAGCAGATTTGTGGGCAAACACTGTATTTTGCAGTGTTTCTGACCTGGATCTCAGATGGTTGTGCCATCAGCGAAATCGTAAATTGTCTCATTGTGTGACACCAGGCAGGACTGTACAATCTTCTGTGTCCCCCTTCCTGTGTCTGTAACCAGTGGAACTGCTCTGGTAGGGGCAGGTTTGCACAGGGGAAAGTAAAATACTGTGTTGGCAGTTTTAAAAGATGAGTTCCAGATCTGTCCTCCAAAGCAGTGCAGAGGCAGAACATGAACATCAGGTGAACTGAATTATTGAATTCAGCAGCAGCTCAGCTCTCCTGGTAATGCACCTGTGTTCTCTGCACACTCAGGAATTCTGCTTATTCTGCATTTGTTCCCTTCCCAGATTTCAGGGGCAGCACACCTCTAGTCCACTTGTGGGTTTATTTTTTCAAATGAACTAGAGGTGAGTATGCACAAATCCAAAAAAATCATCGTGCCTTTCCCCTGGTGTGGAATCATGCCGTGCCCTGATGTCAGGAGGTCACTTTTATTTCAGTGACCTATTTCCAGTGTGATTATTTTCCCCCTGATGATCTGAGGCCGAGAGTGACAGAAACAAAACCGAACTGTGAGAATTTTCTGCTCTAAGTAGAGGCAAATGCACTTTTGACAGTGTCCCAAGTTAGAGTGTTTTTTTTTTCCCCTTGAAAACGTCTATAGGCACGTTTTTGATCAGAGGATTGGAATATGTCATGAGAACGCACTCAAATATGCGTTTGCATTAACACTGCTGCCAGAAGCCATCTCACAGCCATCACCAGACATGCTGGAGCCCCTAGAAAGCTTTCTGTGGGATTGGAAGGCATCCAGCCAGGGGAAAGCAAAGCCACCATGTGATGTGGATGGCCAGTTCCACAGGAAAACTCTACATTAGCGAATGGCAAGAGCTCAAAGCGGGAGTTGCTCGCAAAGCAAATCACCGCTCGAGAACCATCAAGTGTTTGATAAATGGAAATCTGAAAGGGGTCTATGGAAAAATAATCCAGTGAAAGAAAACAGGCTGATTCTACAGCAGGAATTGCCCGTGTCAAGCAGCACTGCTGGCTGTAATGAAGATCACTGGGATACGAGTTGCTCATCCAGCCTTAAAGTGCATCCAAGAGGATGGATGTACTTTAGACTGCAAAAGGACACTCTGAGGTGTCATTAAAATAATCTGTTTTAATATTTCTGAGTGGTAAGTGCAACCAGCAGTGCTTATTAATGGGGCTTGCACCGTATTTCTATTTTTCAGCAGATGACTTTCATATTCCCCCTTAACCACGAAGTGAGGTCCTGGCCACCCACTCCCTACCAGTCCTTCCCAGTTCAAATTCAGAGGCCGTGGGTGTTACGCAGAATATGCAGCTGTGAACTCGTTAGGCAGCAGTCCCAGCTCTCTGGGGTTTCTGCTACACTTCAGGCTTCAAAGGAAGCCAATCTGAAGCTATCCGGGGCAGTTTGCAGAGTTAATGTCTGAGGAGGTGTGGACACAGGTGAGAGAACGCCTGGAGGGAGGGCGCAGGGATGAACAATGTGCAGGCACAGCGTTCTGGCTCGGGAACTCCCCAAACGCAGTCCTCTCCAGCGGGAACGATCGGAGGAGACAGACGAAACGATGAAAAATGAAGGGATCAGCAGAAATCAGACCTAATATAAACCCAACGAAAATAAACTCAGCACGGCTCCCGTGGCTCATTCAAAAGCAGCTCCTCTCCCCGAGTTCATTCGCGAGAACTCGGGGCAGGACAAAGATGGGACAGAATTTCCTCTGCTCTGTGCCTTTAGGAGCCACTGGCTCTGACTGGCCATAGGAAGAGGTTTTCAAAGGGAAATACTGAATATTGCAACTCTACCTACTCCACTGCATCAGAGGAAATGGGACATGTCCAGCCAGAAAGTGTCACTGCTCCTAAATCCCGGGCTTGAGAGTTTGAAATAATTATTTTCATGACTGATGTAGGGAGCCAGAGCTGTGAATACTTGTCTGAATTCGAACCAAATGGTGGGTTTTACGTGGGAAAACTTAAAAATTTGTTTGAACAGAGGTGTATCAGGAAACCTATTTTTAAAACTGGAATGGAGATGCATTGACTGTGTGCGTTTCAAACAATCAGAATGAGGTCAGAAGGGTGTTGGAAGCAGAACATTCTATTGAATGATTAAACCGAGCTGCTTGTAAATGATTTATGTGCTTTTTCATGCATGTAGAAACTTCTGCACATCAACACTGTTGGTATTTTTTTCAATTACTATTCTCTGTCTCATTTTCAGATCCCTCCTAAAGAAATTCAAGGCTATATTTGATCATCTGATTAACATGCTAAACCTCAGCTAGAACAACAGGCCAACAGAGAAGCTGAATGTGGTTTAGGGTTCAAAAGTTTTATAACAGTTGATGTGGGTGAAGGTTTTTTGGCTATAGCAGTTGAGAAACGTGTCAGATCACTACTACTGAATATTCCAGAATATCGGTAGTTACACACTATTCAGCCACCAAAGCACATGTGACAGTGCTTGCTGGTGTCTCTCTGTGCTTTTGCATTGCCCCTAGAATGGGAATAAAGTACTGCCTGGCTCCACAAATGTTCTCCATGAATTTGCAGCCCTGGTGGGAGTCCAGAAGAGAACACAAGGTTTTGTTTGCTGGGAAGGAGAAGGACAAGCAGAAGCTCACAGACTGATGTGTGATTCTGTTTAATCCTATGGCTGAACTGAGTCAATCATACGCTTCCAAATTTATTATTATTATTGTTAACCAGGGGAGATGTGGCCTGGGACCTCAAGGAATCAGGTAGGGAATGCTGGGGCTTCTTTCTGATACCTGAGACTTCTCTGTTCTCTAAGGCTGACACTGTCACAAAGGGTTGCCTTGTTCTCTGATGGATGGTTTGGGGTTTTTTTGAAAAGCACTTATTTTCCTACATTGAACAATTGAGAGAGTGGAGACAATGAGCTTGTCACCTCTGCTGCTACCTGGCAGAGCTGCAGGGAGTGAACTGTGCCCTGTCTGCAGGGAATCAGCGTTCCCAGCAGGCTCTGGGAACAGGAACTGTGTGTTCAGGTATCACTCGATTTCCATAAGGGCCATTTCCATCTTCAGTAAACATTCTTCTGAGATGAGCCCTTTTTATTATAAACCCTTGTTCCATATGACAGCATTTTGCATACAGGCAAAATATCCCAGCAACTGTATCACCCTGCTCTTATTTCAGTCCTCTCTCTGCATAAAGGCATTAGATAGGTGATTTTCCTGGGAAAGATAGCAAGGAATTGCCTCCTTATCTCGTGGCTGATAACACTGCCATGTGCCAGCCCAGTCTCTGGGAACACTGATGAGATCAGGAGTGATGCCCAAGGCAGCAGGGCAGCTGGTGGCTACACCCCAAAGTATTCTTTTCATTGTAATTTGATTAACACAGACAGGGAAACTTCGTGTCTAGGATGCCTTTCTGTGAAAAGCCTGTAAAATACACAGGCAACTTGCTCAGAAAAATAAAAAATCAAATTTTAAAAAGGCTTTTGATTAAAGGAAAAAAAATAGAAAATGGAACCACATCTACCTGGTAGCACCAGGTCAGGACAATATTGCTAGCACAAGCCAGAGAACCACGTGTCCTTGTAAAACCAGGGCATGATGGATGGTCCTTGCAGCTGGTTAGGAAAAAGTGAGTGGCGAGTCAAAGTGACCCTTCCTTGTCTTTACATGTTTGTGCTGCTTTCCCTCCCTCTGAAAAACAAAGATACAGCCATCAGGAACCAGCACATCGGGGCGTCCTGAGCCAGCAAGGCACAGAGTTAATGGTCTGCTTTTTAGGGCACGGTGACCCCTTGGAAGGAGCAGGAGTAACAACACACTTCTTTCACAGACTCTGCCTTTGGATGGAAATCACAGGCCTCTATTATTATATAACTTCAGGAATGTAAGGTGGCGTCTCGCCTGTTTAGGGCCGTCACACTCCCCCTAAGATTGCATCTATTTTGTTTTCTCATATACTTACTCTCCATCACTCCCCAGCTCCAGTTAGAGTGCCTTCTTCCCTCATTTAAGGAGGAATTGTTCCTTTTTCGATTTATCCTTAAAAAATCAGCACATATATTTACCTTTGATTTTTTTTTTTTTCTGCATTAGTATGTCACAATGCCCAGAGCAAAGAACTAGTAATTCTGGACTCTCTGGGAAGGTGTGAAGATGTAAATTGTCTCCTCAGAGGTGTGTGATTTTTTAGCTGTATCCAGTCCAGGCAGGCTGGGTCAGTGTGTTTCTGCTCAAGGGATCTGTTCCAGGAACAAAAGAGGGTGTTATGTTTTTAGAGGAAAGATGACAGGAACAGGGGGAACTCGCTGCCTCCCGTGGCACAGGGGACGTTCAAGTTGTGTCCTGTGTCTCCCACCTGTGGTCTGCAGGCTGGGGCAGCTCCATCAGAACAGGCTCTGGTCTCATCTCACACGTTCCCTGCTGATCTGGCTCCTGGAGCAGACAGACAGGGTTGTTTGTGCTGAAGCTGTCAGCCCCCTGAAGGTACTGAAGAAAGGTGCTGAGGTGACTTTAGCAGAAAAAAGGGTGGGAAGGGGGGCAAGAAGTGTCTGAACTGCCAGCTTCCCATAGGAAACGCTGGATGAAAGACAATGAGCAGCAGGGAGAAGGTGAACTTCTGTGTTTTTCCTCGTGTCTTTATGTTACTGAATCTGTGGCTGCCACTACTCACAACATCTCCTTCAGAAAGGCACTTGGGCAAAGAGGATCCTGTTCCCTAGAGAGTGGAAGTGCTGCTGGTGACTGACAGGTTTGCTCAGTCTCCAAACACAGCAGGCTGGAGGATCTGAGTGCCGGGGAGGTGAGAGCTACAAACAGCGCAGAATATTCTGTTCCTCAGGGGCTGGTGGTTGGTTGGGGAAAAATGCAAAAGACTGCATTTGACACAATCCTGCCTTGCCCCAAACTTAGGAACAACTGCTGTCAAAAAAAAAAAAAGTGGCTGTTGCCCAGATTAAGTTTATTAAAGCCACGTGAAGAAATAAAACCAGAGGAGATGATCCAAGGTCACCCTGCACTCTTCCCTCAACAGTTGCATTTCAGCTCGAGGAAAGCACCAGGGTAATGTCTGCTCCAGGCACACGTGTTCTCTGTGAAATAAATGCACCCACTTCTGCTCTGCCTGCATTAAGGCTGTTCCTGGGTTTTTATGAGCCTTGGCAAGTGCAGTGCTATCTGTTAATATCTGAAGGTGGGAGTGTTCAGGGAGTTGTCGGAAAGGCTTGCAAGACTAGATCTGATCATACCCACCCACACTAATTAACACATTACATAAAAGTACAACAAGTTTCTCTTTGCAAACATCAGAACCACTTGCCCAGGCACTTTCTGTGCAGTTCTAGAAGAACTAAGAGGGATGGACTCTGTTGCTTTTTAACCTCAGCAGAACAATGGGTGAGTGAGTGGGTAGGGTGAAGTTCCCACTTTCAGAACTCTCTCCTTTTTACCATCCTGCTAAAAACACGCCATCAGCAGGAATATGGCTGGAAGGACCTTTTTAAAGTTCACGAGGGGCGCATGAGGCTGCATTTTTTTTTCTCATCGAAAACCACAACGTGAAATATTGAACATGAGGGATCAGGTTCCCTTACCAAGGACTCCTCCTCTCCCTGCCCTGCCTCGCTAATTCTGAAAATCACTTTGTATAAACACCACCCTCTGAAACCACCTGGAACTGAAAAAAAAAAAAATCCTCCCATTTAAATAGGGCCTTTTTATGTCAGGGGAACGTGTCCCAAAACAGCTCACATTTCTCTAGTATTCAAATATTAAACCAGCAGCAATCTGCTGTATAAAGGTGATAGGAAGGACCCTTTTATTTCTCCATAGTTTGGAGCAAGGCAAACTAATTTCCTATGAAACTGCTGTGACCTGCTCCTACAGCTTCCCCCAGATTCCTCCAGCAGGATAATAAGCATACACCCCAACTTACTCCAGACTCTTGGATGACATCTGGCCTCAAGATGGTGGCACGGAAAAGTGCAGCAAATGACACAGGAAAACAGAAGGGAAGAAAATAACTGAGCAGTGGAGGGCAGGAGGCAGTGCAGGGAGAGGGGAAAACCAAAATTAAAATAAGTCAAAGGGCGGAAATTCCTTCGAGAAGGCCTTAGGCTTCAGCAAAGCTTGTCCACATTTGCAGCACTTCAGGATTACCCAACGCTAACCTTCTGTGGAAGGCACAGCAGAGCCCAGCAGGCATTCCAGAGGAGCCTGCCTGCTAAAAAACCCTCTTCCACCTCATCCCAGCCCCTCACTGCATGGAGAGCTTCCTACCGTGCATCACCCCCAAGGGAAGGAACTCTCTTCCCCAGCTCTCCCTGACTATCTGAAAAGCCAAGCCGATGTTTTGCTCGTTATTTCCCTGTTTGCTGCATACCTCTCCCCCACTGTGACTGCTATTTGACCCGCTGGCCGCTCCGGGACCCTGAGGGGAGAGAGAGGGAAGGCTCTGTGTGTGTGTGTGTGTGGATGAGAGGAGCGAGATGATGACTCTCAGCTCCCTTCTGACTTGTTTATATTCATTAGAAAGAAATCAACAGCACTGAGGGTGTGTAAGACAGACCCCGACGATCGGGAACATCTTTGGTGTGGTGCAGGAAAAAGAGCAGATCCATCCTCTGGGATGGGATTTGGGGATGAAAGGGGATTTCAGTGTGTGGTTTTACCTCGCTTTTGCATTAGAAATTCACCAAGAAATAGAATCTCAGCAGAAAGGTTTCGTTTCAGGGGGACACTGCTCTTTCACCAGGGCTGTTTGCTCTGACAGCCACGAGCCTGGAATGCCTGACCAGGATTACTGAGGAACTAGAAAGGATCAGAGGGAGGTTGGAATCATCATCCCTTCCCCTCCCAAGCCTCTCTGGATAAATCTGGTACCTTCAGATCCTGGAAGGGTTCTCCCCTCATGGCATTTGTGCTTTCAATGAACTGAATTCCTTCTGAAAAAACTGACAAAAAATAAAGCTGAAAGCTTCTATTGAGGTGGGCCTCGAAATCAGAGAGTTTCTTTTTCATCCTCTCCAGAGAGCCCCAGACATCCAGGAATTCCAAAGAAAACTGCAATGTAAGAAACCTGTTCAGAGCTGGCACAGAGCTGCATCTCTGCACTGACCCAGGCAGAGTGGCACTTCTGGCAGCATCTTCCCCTAGAACTGCTCCAGAAGTGAGAAATCTGCTGGTCTGCAGCGAGGTCAGACCTTCTGATTTCAACATTCCCACCCTGGCACCTCAGCAGTCAGTCTCCATTCTACCTGGCAGGACCAAAGGAATATTTCAAATACAGCTCACAGCTTTTCTGCTGTAACTCAGATCTCTTTTAGAAATTTTTAGCATATGGGTTTTGTCCTTGTCTAAATTTTTGTATAGAACCTCTTGGTTCTTGAACAAATACTGCTTTTCCTTTCTGCAGGATGTTGCATTTGGATTTGCTGAGCTTTTGACAGACATTTAGGTAGTCAAACTTTCAACTTTTGAGGCAGGGAAACACCAGAAATATCTGCTTTGCAGGTCAGGGTGCTCCTTCAGATGGTGCATTTTGCCTCAGGTCACACAGGACATGTATGGAAAAGCTTGAAATTCGAGTCAGGAGCCCTAAATTCACTCCTTTAATCGCATGTCCTTCCCTTGAGGCGCTTCATTCAGGTGTCTCCAGTTAGGCTTGTTACTTTCCTGCATTGCAATTCCATGAATTCCTCTGGTAGCTGTGTTCCAGTAGGTTCTCACCAGGTTCCTATGCCTAGTGCTGCATCTGGCACAGGAATGTTGCCCTTCCGAGGCTGTCACAGAGAATATATCATTACAAAAATAAATAGAGTCTGGCTGCTCTGGCATCTCAGCCCAAGCATATTTATCACTTTTGGCTGATCAGTGCCTGATTCAATGCCCCTAAAACACAATGGGTAAATCCCCAGTTGAATTCAACATGCATTTAATCAGGCCTTTGCTAACTGTGCTTCCAAACTTCACATTTCATGAGCTCTACAGTACAGACTCTTCTGTTTTTAGAGCATTATTCCACCTCACTGTGCAGACTGATACAGTGGACTTTCCTCTGCATGGATTATGTCAGTGAATGTGTGTTTGTACAAGCAGGCTCCAGTTTTAGTTCTAGATTTAGTTCATCCCATTGTTGATGCTGCTGCCTACATGTGTGGCAACCTGGGATTAATGCTAAAAACGTACTTATATTTGATCATAAATGAAGAAAAAAATTCAGAATGACAAATTTCATATATGAGTTCAGTGACAGAAGGAATCTCCCACTATTTGAACTGCTCTGCTGCCTGAACCCTCCTGTCCAGCCCCCACAGGTGAAATACAACAACTCTCTTTGGGCCCAGCTCAGTCCTTCCACATAGAAGTCCTGGGTGGCCTTTAGCAAAGAAAACACTGCTCCAAGGTTTGCTCCTTCCCCAGGGTGTGCTGGGAACAGCTCCACCATGGAATGGAAAGTGAAGGAAGGGATGGAAAGCGAAGGAAGGGAGAGAAACTTCCGTTAAATGTCCATAACTTTTAGTTCCTCAAAGTACTTTTTTCAGTTCCCCTTTCCAAAAGCAGAAATGAAACCATGGAAGAGAGGAGACAAAGTGTGTTTGGCATGGCAAGTGCTGCCTCTCCACTGGGACAGCCCACAGACAACTTCAGAAACAAAAATTACATCTCAAAACTAGGAGGAGACTCAACAATTGAACTCTAAAGAATTAAACACCGCAGAACCGTTTCACGCGCTTTGTTTTCCTTTCCAAAGGGTCCACAGTCCAGTCACTCAATCCTGTGCAAAGGTCATGTTACTATGGATATGACCTGCAAGAAATGCGTTGCCTCAGAGCAGCACAAGTCACATGAACAGGCTGGAAGCCAAGGCTGCTGATTCACAGTCCTGTCAGGGGCTCACTCAGGACCAGTCCCTGTGCCATCGGCTCTATGTTCGCCCTTTGAAAGTGTTCATGCAGGTGTAGCTCCCAGAGAACTTGTGGATTTCTTCAAGTGCTGCCTGAGGGAGGATGCTGGAAGAGAAGCAGGGGGAGAATAAGCAGATGAGACAAACCCTTCGGTCCGTCCTAATGAGAGATGGGTAAATATGCATTTACATACGTAAATTCTCAAACATCAGCTGGTGAGAGCACACAGACCTGTCCTGCTGTGAGGAGGCCTAAAGGGACAAAGTTCCACCCAGTTACTCTTTCTCTGTGGAAATATTTATCCAAAAATGTCTGTAAACGCTGTATCTTGGAAGATACCATCATATTTTATTCCTCTCAAATACTGTACTCTGAAACACACAAATTCACCCTGAGTCCTCTGGTTAACTTGCCACCTTGTTGTGCAAATGGACAGAGATCTAATTTCCTGACAGCTACTGAAATGGAAAATAAATTATTAATTCTTACAATAAAGGGGAACAGCCCTTTTTCTTGTTTGTAGGGTTTCTGGGAACTTTTATCCCAAGTTTTACATTCAGAGCAAAGCATTTATTGTGAATTATTTTTTTCTTGTTTGAAATGCAAGACTGGAACTATTTTCCCCAGAAATCTCATGGCCGTGTTTCAGTTCCTGACTGAAGCAGCTTTTCCAAAGGCTTTAGTACAAACTGCCATGGAAACACAATGCTAAATGTCCTTTCTCTTTGGTTGTTTCAGGATATGAAGTTATGACTTTTTTTTTTCCTCAGGGATCTTAAAATTCCCGTCCTACCCATACACAGAAATATTGGTTTAATGGTTTCATTGCTGTAACACAAGCAATGCTCTCTAAATACAGCTGGGATGTGCAGCCCTTATGGCACAGAAATCCTGTGCAATGTGAAGCCCAGAGTCCAACAACTCACTTACTAAATCAAAACTAACCACGTGTGTATGTTAAGAGATTTCCTAGACACAAATCCAGCTCAGACCTCAGAAAACCAAATTTTGGGAGTGAAACTTGTTTCCTAAAGGGGTTATACCCAGGGAAAACATCTCCAAGGGCAGTCTCAGAAAGTGTCTTCCTTTTGCTTCTGTTGCTCTCTCAAGGGAAGGGATGATCCATCCCATCTGGGATGGCAGTTCCAGTCAGCCTGAGGTTTGCCTTGGTGGACACACACAAAGAAAACCTTCCCTGTCTGGCCAGGCTGTTGCTGGGCAAAGGAAATTACTCACCTTTTTAGGATGACAAGAACATGCATTGTCCATGGAAGGAGCAGGAAGGCTTGATTTGTCTGAACAGCCTCTACCGTCCTCCTGGCCACTGTCTCTGGCTTGAGGGGAGGGAAAAGACTGGGGAACCTGAATAAAGAAAGCAAAAATTAAAATAATTACTTGTTAATCAAACTCCTCCTTTAAGATATCACTGCCCAAGTCCTGTTACTCCAAACTATCTCTTGTTGCTGGCCTTCAAACATGCCCCAAGCAGGCTGGAGGAGGCAGAAAGTTCCAGTTCCAGCCAAACAGCCTGAAAACAGAAAGCCCAGTTCCAACCAGTACTACTGGGTTACCTAAACAGTTAAGAATGTACACGTTGGTGCCTTCAGGGAGAGTGGCAGAATGTATTCAGAGCCTTGATTCAGGGCTTTTCTTAATTTGAATGCAAACCAGTACCAAATGCTGCCTTTTCAGTGCTGGTGTTTTTCCTTTTATTCTCTGCTGCTCTTTGCTTAATTCAAATTCTTGACAGGTGAAAGACAAATATTTTCCTCCATTGCTTTTAATTCCAAACACAAGGCTTTTCCCAGCTCCAGCAATAGCTTGACACTGCATATTTTCTTGACTAAGAGAGCCCAAACTATATTAATAGGTTATTTTGTCCATTCTAAAAGATTAATTTGGTCAGCCATTAGTTGTTCTCTTGCACAGAGGTAAAAAGGAGGCACCGATGGCCTCACTTCAGTAAGTGGCTGTCATTCCTTTCAGTGGGGAAGAATTATTTCAGTGAATAAAGAAGGAACTTGTACTGTTAATTCTCAAGTAATTTGTAGACTGCTCCTCTTGCATGACCTCAATTGCAGATTCCCTCCCCTCCCTCTCTGGGGGCTGCACAGGGAAAACCAGCTTTATTTCTCCCTGCAGAATCCAATGTCTCCCTTTAGAACAGGCTGGAGGATTATTCCAGCACACTGAGGGAACCAGTCTGATGAGTCCCAGGTGGCCTAGAGTGACCCTCTGTTCCCAGGCAGCCAAATGAGACATCGAATTCTCTTCACTAAATGAAGCATTAATTAGGAGTGTATTCTGATGATTCATTTAAAATGAGATGCTTTATTGTAGTTCCCCTGGACTGACCTGATTCTCATGCCCTGGAACATCTCTGTGCTGGTGTGGAAGGGCAGCACTGTCGTGGCATTCACTCCAGGACAGTCCAGCAGCCCCAGGGTCAGGCTCTCCATGAAGGCAAAGGAGGAGGCTTTGGAGGTGCAATAGTCAATGGCACCAGGGATGGCTGACAAGGCCAGGACGGAGTTCAGGCACACAATGTGTCCATTCTGCAGCTCCAGCATCCTTGGCAGGAATGCCTTGGTGGTCTGGAGAACAACAGAGTTAAAAGAAAAAAAAAAAAAAAAAAAAGGTCTGTTCAGCAGAGATACGACAAAACAATAGTTACTGAGAAAGATAAGATGACACAGAGACAAAGCCAAAGTGTTCTGTTCGTTGTGCTGGGAAAGGAGTGGGACAGGACCTTGCTGCTTTGTCATTTTGTAAGAGATTCTAAGGAGGCAAAGTTTGTGAGGAAACACAAGAAAATCTTTTCCACAGCATCCACACTAAGCAAGCAGCACCCCCAGATAAGGGCCAGGAACAAGTGCTTAAGAACTTGTACAGGATGACGTCTTCAGCAAAGTGATGAAAGCACAAGAAGCTCTTTTTTTTTTTTTTTTTTGTTACTAATGCCCAATTCAAAATGGAACAAACTCCCTGAGCAATGCAGTCCCACGCTCCTCTGATGTTCCCTGTACAGCACCATGCAGAAAACCATCCTGTGGGCTCAGGCTTTCTCAAAAGACATCAAATGTTTCACTGGAAATCACAGATTGGGAAAAAAAGAGCATCAAATGCTGAGTTACTACTGGAAAAATCATATTTATTTTAGACCTTGTTCCTCTGGCCTTTGCCCCTCACACTGTTCGTTCCCTCTTGTTTTCATGACAGGCTGATTTTAGGAAGACCAAAGAGCAGCCATTTCTGGCTGCAATCTGTCACTCTCCCTCCCAGCTGTGAGTACAGCGGACACAAGAGCTGATCTTACCCAGAACTGTCCCAGGGTGTTGATGTGCTGGGATTTGAGCAGTGCATCATCATCGCTGTCCATCAGGCTCTTCCCGTGGACCACGGCAGCGTTGTTCACCAGGATGGTGATGTCACCCACCTGCAAGGACAGCAAATGACTCGTGACAAGGAACATCTCACAAATCAGCCATTAGAGCGACCATTAGAGCTGAGTAGCCATTATGGCCTGAATGCACCCTTATTTTCATAACTTTTGACATTCTTGCCTTGCAGGACTTTGGATCCCTTCAAACACAATCTGGATGGTCACCCTTCTTTTTTTTTTTTTTTTTTCTTTTTTACATCATATATAGATTCACAGAACCATTAAGGTTGGAAAAGATCTTTAGGATCACCAAGTCCAACAATCAACCCAGCACCCCGTTCACCATTAAACCGTGTCCTCAAGTGCCACATCCACGTGTTTTTGAACATTCCCAGGGATGGTGCCTCCTTTCCCCACTGACCTTCTCCCTCACGGCCTTGGCCTGCCGATAGACCTCCTCTCGATTGCCCACGTCACAGATGAAATAGTGGCACTCTGTGCCCATCAGCCTGATCTCCTCCGTGGTCTCCTTCAGGCACTTCTCAGTCCGACCCCACAGGATGATCTGCAGCGAGAAATGTTTATTGTTAGAGTGGAACTGCTTCTGCTTCAGATCTGAAATAACGGAGACCTGCCTCTGGCTTCAACAGTTTGATGGAAATCTTTGATTCACTGGAGTTTTGCTTCATTTAAGACTGGCAATGATTTTCTGTTCCATGGGGAAGGGACATGAGTGGGTACCTGTGTCCCACTGGTTCTTAACAAACCACACGAACTAACACAAAAAACCCAGATTTTTAGCCTAAAATGACCAATATATGAAACACTTGGCAAATTTTCTGTATCATGTAATTTCAAATCTCTCCCTGCTTTTCCTACACACGTGTACAGAAAGATAAATTTAGTCCAAAATCATAGACCTTCCTGCCTATCTGCTGTGTTCCCTATTTGTTCTGTGTTTGGTGCAGTAAAACATATTTTTTCAGCCTATTATATGTAATAACTTGCAGTGCTGATCCAAAAGAGAAAAAAGAAAAGGTTGTTACATTGAAAATGTAGAGTTATTGCTATTTCCAAGCATATGTAATCCAGTTGCTGTGTATTGAATATGAATCTGATATATTGATTTTCAATGCTTAAAAATAAGCCCACTTAAACTTTAAAGATTAAATAATCTTTCGGGGTTTCCAAAAGTTGAAAGAACAGGAAGCCAAAAGTCTAAATTACATCACTGCTCATAACTCAACCCCTGCAATTAACTTAATAACAGCAAGATAAACAGAAAAAATTAAGTAGTATGCATGCAGTATTCCTTCCCCACAACAACCCTCTTGCAAAGCTTAATGTGCTTATTTTTAAGGACTAGTTAAGCTTATCTTATAACTGGCACTAAAACTAATCTCTGGCAGGGTCAAAGAGCTCTTCCTGTGCCTAAGCAAGGCTAAAATGCAGAGGTACCCAAGCCCTCAGCCATTTCCTAAACGAGTTACAGTTACAATTAATCCCATTTCCAAGTCACTGGCACATCCGTGAACACAAACACACCCGGACCGAGGGATTTATATCCTCAAACTCTCCAACTGGCTGGTTCACCAGCAACTTCAGAGTGTGTACAAATATGCCAGAGCCATTTCGTGGGGAAATCTTATCTCAGGGGGAGTAATTTTCAAGGGAAAAAAAAAAAGCCGTGCTCAGACTCCCAGGCTGGAGGAAAGCACATGGCTGAAACTGCAGCTTGTGCCTTGGCCTGGCCTCGAAAGCCTCAGTGTATCACCCTGGGCCATCATCAGGGCTTGGCATCTGCACAAAGCTTGTAAAACTCAGGGCTGTTCGCTCACTTCTGAACTCAGGGCTAGACTGAGGGGTGTTTTTTATGCACACTCTGCAGACTTGGAGAAGGGAAATCAAGAACATGTGAGAAATTTCACAAGCTTTCAGGAAATCCTCACAAAATGCTGTTCGACTACAAGCACAGGGGCACTTGCTGCCTCTTTCACAATCTACAGCTCTGTGGAAAGGGGAGGAAAAAACCACTACAGAGGTCAACTGAAAACATCGAGTTTGATGCCCACAGGGTTTGTAGCAGGGTGAACTTTGGCCAGTCAGTGCAGACACTAAAAAATTAAGTGATTCAGTGAAGAGTGATGGAAGGAAAAAGGAAAAGGGAAAGAGAAATAACGTGTCAGATGAGGGGAGTAAGGCAAGGAACTGCCCTCACACCCCCAGCACTCCAGGGCTTCACACTGCTATTGCAAAATAAAAAGCAGATCCCTCACTCTTCTCTTTAATCTCCCTCAAACATCCTCACAGCCTCCTACTCCCAAGAGCTGCCACTGATGCATTGGATGTCAGGAAATGTACATGGAAGAACAGTTAAGCAAAGGATGACCTGTCAAAAAACATCTGCCTGTGATGCAACTCTTGGATATAATATTTTTTTTTTTATGCCCCAACAGTTTCTTTGGGACCCTTAATATCCTACAGGCAAGCCTTGCAAGGTGACCCCGTTAAAATCTGGGCCGTCTGGGGAAGGCAGAATTTGCTGGTTATCCTGCTGACAACATTCATTTCAGCACTGATTGTTTTCCATGGGAAGTTTTCGTGGCCCTGATACTGTTCACACTCAGGTGAAGGCTCCAGCCTGCACCAGAGAGAAGCAGTAAATAAAAGACCATTCTTCCGTGAGAGGTGAAAGTTCCCTGACGAGCCAGTGGGAAGCGAGGGCTCCTGCCGTCATTTCGGCTACTTTTTGCAGATGGATAAAACCCAGAACTCAACACAACGTGCTTTTGGTCCAAATTCAGCCTTGACTGCTCCTACGAGATCATGTGAGACTTTCAATTTCTCTCTTCCATCTGGCCAGATGGAATTGGCACAGCCTTCCCTGCGGCCTCCCAGGACACCAGATCTTACAATGAGGCAAGACTGCAGTTGCTGCATTTGCCTCACAGTTGAGGCTTCTGTTGCTCCTGAACGCCTTTGCAGAGGGCTTGGGCTTAGTCCTTCCATGTTCTCTTGTTTGCAGCAGTTTCACTGATGTTTTCTAGGTCCTTACTCTCCTATTCCTTCCTGGTTTTCTACAAACCCATCAGCCCTCTGCTCTCCTGCACTCACCTTCTGCAATATGTGCAATCAGGGATAATTATCCATGTTCTCCATCCTGCTGAACAAACCTTTCTGTTCCCAGTGGACTTAAGGAGGGACTGTGGGCCCAGGCCCCTGTTCTGCTGCTGCCCTGTGAGCTCTTGGCTCTTCACTTCCCTTTGCATGCAAGCAGGAATTTTATCCTTTGCTCAGTCAGCGTCAAGAAAGGCATCATTTACCTTCACCCTGCCCTAGCTGGGGCTCGAGGGCTCTGCATTCATGAGGAGTCCAGGCCTGCAGTTTGGGAAATGGCCCATTTTACTTGGAAGCACAATTTTCAAAATGAGACGTGGGCCTCCGAGTCTGCTCTGTGTCCCCTTCCCTTTTCAAGTTTAATTCTAAATTGGCAATAAGCGTGTCCCAACTGGGGGCTGAGTCCTGGACAGAATGACTCCAGCAGACACAGAAGTTCCTGTCTGGACAGAGGAAAACACAGAGGAATAAAGGAGAAGAGAGACGTGGCTTTCCTGGCTCCCCAGCGTGTCAGGATGCTGCACAGCCACCCATTCACGGGAACTTAATGGTGGAGAGTGGAATATTTAATTTGCGTTTTGGACAAACTCTTGGACGGACACTTTTTCCGTCCTGGAAAGAATCCAGCCCTTATTTCTTCTCCCCTTCATCTCTCGTCATCCTCCCCTGCCCTGCCCCTCCCGGCCGCACAGCCACGCTCTCCTTTCAGAGAGTTACTGACCAGAAAATTGGCGAGGGCAGCAGCCCGGGGAGGTGGAGAATCCCGCTGCGAGGCTTCCAGCCCGCGCTTACCTCCGGCTGACCCCGGGCTGGCACGGGCAGGTGGAATGGGAAAGCAATCCCTGCCGCCCCAGGCTGCTGGAGGCAGCAGGGCAGGATTCCTGCCACTGGACACAGGCAAGAAGAGATTTATGATGACAGAGGAACTCAACACGCCCTCCTCTTAATGAACTTTAAAGTAGGCAAGGGCTGTGACATCACACTGGGTGCAGATTTTCCCAGGATTTATTCGCGAGCGGGTTTTTGCAAAACAAACCTTATCTCCAGATCTGAGTCACAGAGCTCCTTATCTGACCTTGGGAAAATCATTTCAGCTGGAGGGGCAGGCGCAGCATCCTCAGCTCCCAGAGGACTCGTTTAACTCCGGCCTTAATCTGCTAATGAGACGTGCCCCGAGGTCGGAGGGGAGTCCCGGGGAAGGGTTTTGCTGCTGATGGGCTAAGGCAAGGCTTTCCAACAGAGATCTGCATTCCAAGAGCCCCAATCCCGACTGCAGGGCCAAATCCCGACTTTCACCATAACACCAGTGAGTAAGAGTTATGCTCCTGACCACCGCAAAATCAGATAAAGCCACTAATTTATATAAACTGGTCCACGTTGAAGCTGCCGTCAACCACAATGTACACACGCCATCACTGCTTCCAGAGCCTGAAGTGCAATGATTGTGCACGACACGAGGTTAGAGCTAGTTTTACATTATTTACAAGGCCAGTTAACTTGTTTGGCCTGATTTTATTGCTAGCACAATTCAAGGACAGCAGCAAAGGAATGTTGCCCCTTTTATATTGTCAATTATTTTGGCACTGTATCTTCAGCAAACCTGCTGTGCTAGAATTCCTCCCTCCAGTGAGCTGGACCAGTGCTGGAAAGGTGTCCCACCAAAAAAGCATTTCTGAGACTGAACATGTGCCATTCCTTAACACTCCCCTTGGGATGTCTGTTAAAGTACAGAACTGTTCACTCTTAGGCTTTTCCAACACAAGGTGCGCTGTGATTAGCAGATATAACTTCCACTCCAATAGTTTCCCCATTTTACGATTCATGAAGCAATTCTCTGATTCAGTCTGAAGACACTGAAAGATTAAAGTGTTGCAGAGAGACACGAATGCCCTTCCTGCCTGATCTCATTATTGCTGCCTCCACAAATCAACCACAGCTCCCAGCCCCAGATCAGCAGAGATAGGAAGCAGTTGGTAGGTCAACACATTTCATTCCCCCTTTCAACCTCCTTCCTAGCCCAGTGGAACAAAAGTTGCTCTGTCTGAGCTTGGTATCTGTAATTGCACAGACCTTTGTTCAAACACAGAAAGCCTTTCTGCGCCCAACACTCGGAGTTCTGCATACTTTTAGGAAGTACAAAGTGTAGATAATCCACTGAAGTATGCCGGCCTTATCCCCTATATTTACAAAGCCTGGTAGTGCTAACGCACACTCGGGCCCTCCGAAGAAACGCATTCCAGTGTATCCCCTAATCCTGGCAGAGTTTTTGCATATCGTGAGAACGGCAGGCTAAATCCTACAGCCTCAAAAGCTCCGTGTCTTTAGCCTGTCAATGGCAGAAGGGTTTTTCTCCCCCACCCCTTTCCCCTCTCTTGCCCCCAGGGCGAAGGCAGACAAGTTCTTTCAGGAGCTCTCCATGGGAGAGGCATCTAAAGGCAGATTAATGGG